GTGGTAGAGTGGTTAGGGGAGTCGTCCTGGAACCGGAAGATCATCAGTTCGATCCCCCGTCCAGCCGTTTCAGTTATTGTGTCCTTGGGCAAGACACTTCACCCACCTTGCCCACTGATGGTGGTCAGAGGGTTTGGTGGTGCCGGTGCCGGTGCCTGGCAGCCTCACTTCTGTCAGTGTGCCCCAGGCCAGCTGTGGCTACAGTGTAGCTTACCACCATCAGCGTGTGAATGTGAGTATGAATGGGTGAATGTCTGGTAGTGTAAAGCACTTTGGGGTCTGGAAGGACTTGATAAAGTGCTCTGTAAGTTCAGTCCATTTACCATTTCTATGAAATGAAGGTGGGAGCTCAGCTCGTGACCGTTAATGAAGATGATGTAATTCCAAATTTATCCTAGATGTGAGCTACAACTGTGATTGGTTCCCCATGAGGAACATAGTGTGGCCAATTGTATTTCARGAAAGAAAAACAGCAACAGCTGATTACAAAGCTGTGCTGAACCAAACGCAACAAGTAACTAAAAGCTTCCTAGAAATGTAGTGGAGTAAAAAGTACATTTGCCTTTGAAATGAAGTGGAGTGAAAGTCATAAGTACCCCCAAAAAATAATTACTCAAGTAAAGTAAAAATACTCAAAAATGTACTTAATTACAGTACTCAAGTAAATGTACTCCACTACTGTCCACCACTGGAGATGGTGATGGTTTAGGAAGAGGGCGTAAACTTTGATGTTGCTTCATTTTATCAGAATTGATGAGTTCTGCTGTGAGTCAGCACCAAAGTGTCTGTCACCTTTTACAGCAGGCTGAAAGCTGAAGTTGATCAGAGCTTCCACACCTGAACCACGTCTACACCTCTGAACTAYGGCAGTCTTTTCTTTCTTCACTGTTTTGTCTGCTTCCTTTTCAACTGTGAACAGTTGTTCACTCACAGCTGTTGAGCTCATTTTGGTGCAGATATCCTCTGTGTTGTACGTAGCATTAGCATGGTGTAAATAGAGTGAGCCTGTGGTGTACGTCATCACCATGGGGGTCTATATAACAACTGGAGTGCTCAGAAACCAGGTGACCGTGTGATCGGCTGTAGAAGCTAAGGGCTAAAGCTAAACGGTCAAGAGTTTGGATTTACCATTACTGTACATGTTGGTAACAGAGCAGGAAAAAAAGGACTGATGGTGTAGAAAGCATTAAAACTATTAATAATAATATTAACAAGAGTATTATTAATATTTTACAGTTTATATAATCTATYTAATGTTTTAAATAATGCTAGAAAAGCTGTTTGTGTTATGGATTTATTAACAGAAGAGAAGCAGGAAAACATCTCATTTTACAACACAAGTCAGCAGATTTGATCTTATTTAGCTCAATGTGATCTGAGCAGAACTGAAGCTAATAATATGACAGTTTAAAATTAAAATAATCACTGTTATTTATTGAACTGGTTAGCAGTTATTAGCTTTTGGAGCATATATACAGAGTGTAGCACTGTTGAATCACGCTACAATTTAACACAAACTATTAAATATTACTTTGTCCTCTGATTAATATTTAGACCTACAGAGTGTAAAATAATATTATAAATGTCTGATTAATATTTAGACCTACAGAGTGTAAAATAATATTATAAATGTATTTTTAGGTTTCTGTTAGAAGAACCTGACCTGTTGAGAAGATGGTTAGTTAATAGAGACAAGTTTCATCCTATAACAGGTATACAGAGGCACCCGTTATGGACAGTAGTTATGAACTATAAAATCTAAAAGAACTCATTGACCTTCTCAAGAAAATGTTGGCTGTAAATGCTGGAGACCGAATCAAGCCAGAAGATGCCCTGAAACACAATTTTATCACAATGAAGCATCTTCCTATCAACAGCAATGACTCTTATGTGAAKAAAGCAGTGAAAATAATGTCAGAGTGTCAGCCCAAAACCACAGACGTGTCTGTAGACAACTCTGATCCTGGTCCTGCTATGGCCCCACACATCTCAAATCCTGGTCCCATTATGCTCCCACACAACTCTGATCCTGGTCCTGCTATGGCTCCACACATCTCAAATCCTGGTCCCATTATGGTCCCACACAACTCTGATCCTGGTCCTGCTATGGTCCCACACATCTCAAATCCTGGTCCCACTATGGCTCCACACAACTCTGATCCTGGTCCTGCTATGGTCTCACACATCTCAAATCCTGGTCCCACTATGGCACAACACATCTCTGATCCTAGTCCCACTATGGCCCCAAACATCTCAAATCCTGGTCCCACTATGGCTCCACACAACCCTTATCATAGTCCCACTATGGCACCACACAACTCTGATCATAGTCCCACTATGGCACCACACAACTCTGATCCTAGTCCCACTATGGCACCACACAACTCTGATCCTAGTCCCACTATGGCACCACACAACTCTGATCATAGTCCCACTATGGCACCACACAACTCTGATCATAATCCCACTATGGCACCACACAACTCTGATCCTAGTCCCACTATGGCACCACACAACTCTGATCCTAGTCCCACTATGGCACCACACAACTCTGATCCTAGTCCCACTATGGCACCACACATCTCTGATCCTTGTCCCACTATGGCACCACACATCTCTGATCATAGTCCCACTATAGCTCCACACATCTCTGATCATAGTCCCACTATGGCACCACACATCTCTGATCCTAGTCCCACTATGGCACCACACATCTCTGATCCTTGTCCCACTATAGCTCCACACATCTCTGATCATAGTCCCACTATGGCACCACACATCTCTGATC